CGTGCTTCCATTAAAACATATTTCAAGCCGCCGAAGAAGATTAGTCAGTTTTTACCATCAGTCAAGTGTAATATTCCTCTGCAAGATGCAGGAGTGTACAAGCTGGATTGTGAATGTGGTCTCTCTTATATAGGACAAACTAAAAGATCCATAAAAACCCGCGTTAAAGAACACATAGCTGATGTGAAGAATAGACGCTCCGGGAAGTCTGCAGTCTGTGAACATGTACAGGATCGCCCCCGTCACTACATTAGATTTGATAGACCACAAATCCTCGCTAAAGAACACCGATTCCTTCCAAGGATGATTCGCGAGGCTATTGAAATCAAAAAACATCCTAATTTCAATAGAGAAGATGGCTGGGTGCTACCATCTGCTTGGGATCCCATAATTAATAAAATTAAATCCCAACCAAAGCATACAACTGCAAGACTTCATGATACTGTAAGTTCATACTGCGTAGATCGGAACAAAAATTAATAATTTTTAATCTGGAGGTAGCCGTGGTTAACTATGACATTGGGACGTCATACACCTCAGTCCCCCCCGTGACCATGGGTGCTGTAAAGTGCTTGAAACGTCGGGAATGTAAAATAAGTTAATATACGCGATAAAATCCGTAAAATTAGTTTCATTTAAATGTGTAGTGTTCGCGTAAATATAAGAAATCAATTTATGAATTCTTTTTTTATTTTTTTTTGAAGAAAACCACATTAACACACGAGCACAAGTTTCCAGTGGTCTTTTTCCGATCGAGCCGAACTATTCGAACTTCAACCATAATATGGTTGCAGTAGGGCTCTAACACGTAGATTTTTTTATTTTATTTCTTAATTATAAAACGTAACTCGTTATCATATGATTTCCTTTGTATTGTGTAGCCCTTTTTAAGTAAGCTTATAAATTGCACACGGGCAAACGTCTAGAACTGGAACAATACTTTGAAGACCATACAAACATTAGTTTCATGCAGGATTCGAACTCGCGGCTCTGAAGGTAAATGGCTATTGGCTAGCCACTGCGCTACAGAACCTTCTATTATTATAATAGGGACCGATTTCAATAATTATTGGTAACTCAGTGGTAGCTCAGATGGTTAGCGCTCGCTGTAATTTTCACAGTAGGCGAGCAACCCGGGTTCGATACCCGCCGGCACCAATGAAACTGTTAATTGCAATTTTAAGTGCTGACTTACCACGTGCTCGGCGGTGAAGGAAAACCTCGTGAGAAAACCTGCATGTCTAAGAAATAAGAAAAAAATATATTTAGAAGACATGTGAAGTTCGCCAACATGCATTGGGTCAGCGTGGCAGACATTTCCTTGCCCTAACCTAACCCTCTCAGAAATAAGAGGAGGCCTGTGCCCAGCAGTGGGACATATATAGGCTGTAAATTTAATAATTATCGGATGATGGTTAAAATGAATAAGTCTTAGAGCCACGTTGCTGTTATATTATAGTTGCAATATGATGAGGCGGTCCCACAACACCAGCGTAAAATATCATAATGCTGTTGTGTTTCGTATAATGAGTGTATAGAACCGGAGACCCTTTGTACTGGTAACGAGGCATTCCATCTTGGACCTCTGGGGTGATAATGCATTTTCATTTCAATTCTTAATCGAGGGTAGAAATATCAATGGTAAAAGGTAAATAAGCTCAAGGTCGCTAAACTTTTCAATGAAAATATCCGCAGTAGAAAAAGAGTAACCGAAATAACACAGAGGCTCAGTAAGCTGAAGTGGCAATGGGCAATTCATATAGTTCGAGAAAACGACAATCGACGAGGAAGAAAGGTTCTCGAGTGGCAGCCTCGTACCGATGCCGGAGCAGCCCACTAGATGGAGTGACGACCTGGTGAGAGCTGAAGAAAGTCGATGAATGCTGGTGGCTAAGGACGTTGATTTGTAACATCCATTGGGTTGGCCTATTATGCGAATCAGAATTGAGATGGGCTGTCATGATGATGCATGATAGAATAAAAATCGGACAAATCGCTAGTTACCCCTGTAATCGAATTAGGGCTAATAATTTTCTGCTCACCAGATGTCGCCAGTTGACACTGAGGTAAAGTTTTTTGTCACACAATGTCATTTAATTGAGAAGTTAGTTTTTAATAAAACTTAGTATTATTTTAATACACAAATCAATGAGTCAGTGGTTTGCTCTTTACTTTTTTTGCACATTCTTAAATTTTTTTAAATTTTTCACTTATGAAAGGCTGTAATGATGATGTAATGATGAATAATGATAACTTGAGTCATGCATTTGCACACATTGCTACACGTAGTAGAGCTACGCTGCAGCTATATTATGGTAGCAGCACGAATGGGTCCAAGCGTAGAGAACCGGCTACCATTTTTATGAAGAAACAAGGCATTCAACAGGGATGACAATATATTTCATTTTGATTCTAAATTCTTAAAACTCTTCTTTTAATTAATAATTTATTTTGGAATATTTAATAAAACACGAAAAAATGATTAGAATTTATTAAATTTAGATATAAATATTAAATATAATAAGAAATATTTAACAACAGAATAAGGAGTGTTTATAACCATTTGTTCAATTTGAAATAATATATTATTTTCAATCATGATCGTATTAGCTAACAACTTAATCAAATTTATTTAAGTTCTTAAATAAATAAGACCGCCCATTGTACCACATTTCTTTTTCTCATTTTTTGTTAATATTTTTGTTATTTTTTGGCGTACAATAAAGTGTTGTCTATCTATCTATCTAAATAATTCCCTAACCGTATCTTTTTAAAACAATAAAGCAGTGCTTAGTTTTGTTTGGCGTGTTCACACAATGTTACTAAATATGTATTTATTATATAGGTAGTGATAATAAATAAATATGTATTACATTGTTGTATGGATTAGACTGATACTTAAAAAAAAGTAGCTACTAATATCGCTTTAAAAGTGCCAAATTTTCCTTAGGGTGTACGTTGCATGCGGGCGACCTTTGGTGTCGCGGCACAAGCGCAATCGTGTCTAAGCCGAAGAGACTATACGATTGTAGTCGAATGGCGGATTCGAAACCACCTCTTTCTTAATTTTAAGGTCATGTGGTTTTTTTTATAGGATAGGGTGACAAACGAGTACACATTCCAACTGATGGTAAGTGGTTGCTGTGGCCCATAGACATCTACATTTATCCTCGTTTGCGAATCAAAATGCAGATGCGTTGTCACCCGTGAGGACTAAGATGGAATGGCTCTTTTCCAGTAAAATGGGTCTCCGGTTGTCTGCACTCACCATACGAAACACGGCAGTGTTAAGTTGCTGTTTGACGCTGGTATTCTGTGAGAGCGTGGTCCTTCCCCGGTCGAGCCGATCCATTCGTGCTACAACTATACTACTAATATAGCTGCAGCATGGCTCTACCACGTATAAGGTTACTGTCGCTTCGAGATTTTACTTTAATACTGGTGGTAGTAGTACTTTGAACTAAACTTTTATCTGTCTAAGTCATTGGTTCTTAAACTTTTAGTGATGAGGAACCATTCGACCGATTATAGGCTTGCCACGGACTATCAACTTTTAGACATAATATAAATTATGGTAAGGTTGATTTTTAAGTTTGTTTCGTAAATAAAATACCAAAATAAATGTGTGACACCATTGTGCGCCCCCTAATATTAATCATATATTTTATGAAACTTTCATTATTATTTAAAATACGATCGTGTTATTTAATACGCAAGCCATTTTCGGTATATACTTAAAATAATATGTTTTTATGAAATAAAAACGGCATGCAAATAAAAAACGCGGAAATGTTTATTTAATTTTTTGCAACTTTTGTTATTATTTATAATATAATGATCATGTGCAACATGCATGCCATTTGTATTTCAGAATTATTTGGTCATAAAATTAATATTTATCTTTATTAGAAGTAGTTTGAAATCACGGAAAAGTTGTATTGAATTTTCACAACATTTTCCTAATATTTTCCACCCTTGGTCATACGAGGGGTGCATGCCAATTTAGGTAGAGTATTTTTGAGATAAAAAAACTAATTTTTTACAACGGCATGCAATTTGTAAACACAGAAATGTTCTATTTTTTTTTTCATTTCTACGTAACGTATTGCATAACATCAATTATTATAGCTTAAATTTGTTCCAACTACGTTATATTACAAAGGAATGCAATATAATGTCACGGAAAAATACTAAATTCTTTACACAAAGAGAAGTCATTTTCTTTATGACGTGCAAGCGCGCAAGGGCTCGTAACCCCTCTATCTTTCATATTTTAGGGTTAGTTATCAATTCTTAAAAAGGCATGCAGGAGAAAATGGGAGACTATTTTCTGTTACCATCTCCCGATCTATAAAGTCAATACCTTGTATTGTAAGCCGTATCGATGATATTCGCAAACCAAATGTAATCGCCAAAGATGTTGTACACTTTTTATATTTAAGACAGTATAAAAAGTGTATGTTGTGATGCCTTCGTGGACCACTTTTGGTGCCTTTAGGGACCACCGGTTAAAACCACTGGTCTAAGTAGATGCAGGTGGTTCAGGATCCTGCTTTGTAGCAGGTAGTCAGCAGCGGACTTGTAAAGGGCTGTAATTATTAAGATGAAACGTTCACAGACAAACTGTTTACATGATGAAATTTACATAGTCATTTAGTTCTTCCATAACGTTTACTTAGAATGACTAAGATTAAGTTCAAATGGTAACTGCTATGAGAGTCTTTACAATACAAACATAAAAAAGAAAACTACAAATAAAACTAAGGTTAATGCTTATTAAAGTCCAGCGTGACTGCATAAATAGGACGTATTAAAAAAAAAAAAACTAACGCTATTATGAGGAGCACAAGCGGGTATAACTCCTGAATAGCAACTGCTATCGTAGCAACAACTGGTAAATATCACGTTTACTTAGCATGACCAAGATTAAGTTCAAGGGGTAATTGCTATGAGATTCTCTACAATACAAACACAAAAAAAAACTACAAATAAATCCATGATTAGTGCTTATTAATATCCAGTGTGGCTGCATGAGCAGGATGCATTAAAAAACTAACGCTATTATGAGGAGCGCAAGCGGGTATAACTCCTGAACGAGCAACTGCTATAGCACCTGCTATTGTTGCTGCAACAGCAACAACTAGTATCACCCATCGGATGGTATTTACGTAACTTAATAACATATGTGAATGTTTCAGTTCCTCCTGAATGGACACTGGTATTTCTGCACTCTGAAAGTGAAAAATAATGTTTCCTCAACAGTCTTGTTCTTTAAAATGTGTAATAATAGAATATTATTCAAATCAATTAAAGATTACAAGGAAATCTTATTGAAAGTTATTTTTTCTTTTTTTATAGTTACTGCATTACCTTTTCGACAGAAACACAGATAAAGTATAATATTTCGAATTACAATATTGAAAAAAGAGGCGGCAATATATTTTAAATTGACGCAACGTTTTTCGTCATCAGCCGGTTAAAGTCCACCGCGGGGTATTGTAGGGAGAATTTGCCTTTTGAATTTTTACGCTTGGCAGGCGGATTGATGATCTTAGTATAAGTCGCGGCACGTAAGTCTAGCGGTGACCGTTATTGCGCATAAGTCGAAAATAAGGTATCATGGGGTAGTAAGCGAATCGCGGGGCGGGCGTGTGTATCGTTCGCACGCGCTGATTGGCTCTCCAGTCGCATTCCGCACACTGATTGGCTCTCCAGTCACATTCCGTCCCCCGTACTTATCTTTCAAATTTTCGTTTTTTCAAATTTTCCACGTTTCGTTCAGCGCTAGATTTACGTGCCACGACTTATATCAGACGTTACGCACTAGGTACGCGTCTAGTTTTTTTTTTATATACTATAAGATTGACAAACGAACACGGTCCACCTGATGGTAAGTAGATGCCGAGGCCCATAGACATCTACATTTATCCTCAATTAAGAATCACAATGTAGATGTGCTATCAACCCTGAGGACGAGATAGAATACCCCGTTTCCAGTGAAAAGAGTCACCGGTTCTCTACACTCACCATACGAAACACAGCAGCGTTAAACTGCTATTGTAGGCTGGTATTCTGTGAGAGCGTGGTTCTTCCCGGTTGAGCCGACCCATTCGTGCTACAACCATAATGTAGCTATAGCATGGCTCTACCACGTTTACTAGGTATTTTATGTTTGGTTTTACGGAAAGAAATGGGGCGATAGATTCTCTAACGTCGCCCCCATCTAATCAATATGGGCTGCAGTATGCCCATATTTATTAGTTGAAAAGTAAAAAAGAATTGATGGAATGCAAGTAAATCCCTAAAACGTTGATAAATGCTTAAAAATTATATATACGAGTATAGCTATATATATATACCTCATCAAACCATAATAGTGGGAAGATTCCCGTCCGCACTTTTTCCAGTTGAGGTACTGTCGGCATATTGCGAAGCTCTATGTTAAATTGGATCCGTTGTGCTCCTTTTATCACCACTCCTGTTACCTGCAAATTAATAAAAAAACATCTATTTAACTATAATTTAAAAAATTCACAGCTGCACGTAGGCCTCACCCATAAACTGCCTCATATTGGGGATATTTCCTCAGATTTTTTAGATATTTGTTTGTTGACAACCATAGTCTTTTAAGTTTAAAATAAAAAAGTTAACTGATAATTTAAATGTTTCAAATATAAGTTATTTTTTAAAATCAAAGATACTACAAAATTAATATTACATTGTTTAAGATAGTTTCAACGAGTTGAACCATTTCTTTTCTTCAATATAAGTCAATAACAGCATCCTATTCGAAAAAGTATCGTTCGTTATCTCGAAAATAATATATATAATATATAAAAGTAAAACAAAGAACACTAAATTGTGAATTCATAATTAATTCAAAATGCTCCCACAGCAAACTCCAGTCGCGGATCGGAGCTCGCAAGCACTGGTTTTTAGGTTCCGTAATTAAATGTATGTTGTCGGACTTCACAATTCCTTTGATTTTTTTTTATTTCTCCGACATACTGATTTCTATGTGATAAATCAACACAGCTTTAGGTGAGTACACTGCAGTAATTGACAATTTTACTGAAGACGGGTCATGTAATTGACAACTTCAAATTAGGAATCCTCAATTACAGTTTTCTCAATTACTGCGTAATTTTTAGGCCAGGGACCCTGACGTGCTACGTCTGAACTTGTTATTTTAAAGGTTAAACTGTTAACTTAAAATGTAAGGGTTATAATTCATAAGAAATCAATAAATACGAACCGGATCGAGATAAATAAAGCTCTTATGCTTTTTACTGTCTGGCGAGACACCGTCATATATGTACTCCAGGATCTCCTCAGAGCCAAGATAGAAATGGGGGAGGGAGAGGATTGCCGGCGCGCTCTGGCACGGCATCAGGTTCAACACGCCCATTAGGAGGCAACCGTCGTGACTTCCGCTCCAATTTCTGTAATAAAGTACAAACTTTTTTACGTGGTAGAGCCATGCTCCAGCTATTTTAGTAGTATAGTTGTAGTACGAATGGGTTGGCTCGACCGGGGAAGGACCACGTTCTCACAGAATACCAGCGTAAAATAGCAGCTTAACGCTGCTGTGTTCGTATGGTGAGTGTAGAGAACCGGAGACCCTTTTACTGGAAATGAGGCATTCCATCTTAGTCCTCACGGGTGACAACGCATCTGCATTTTGATTTGTAATAGAGAATAGATGTAGATATTTCCCTACGTCGCCCCTATCAACATTCATGAAACGATATGGGATAATGGATATTCTCACACCGCTAATAAACGATTAGTAGCTTTTTTTACGTAAAGTCAGTCGATTGTTTCGTATATACGATCACAATCGAATAATAATAAGTTTTCTATATTAGTTGCGTGGAGAAGTTACCTCGAGAATGTCACTACATCCAACGTGTTTCGCCTCTAAACAAAGCGATAGCTAACCGCTAGTGGTTAATCATCATCATCATCGTTACGTAAGTCTACTGAACAAAGGCCTCCTTTCAGATATGCCACAAAGCACTATCTAAGAACGGGATGCATTATTACAGTAAACGCTGTGGTTTTACCGCCATCTATCGAAAGCCTTTCTCCTTTTTAAAAATGTCGACACTTATCATCAGGTGAGCCGCATGTTCGCTTGCCCCTTCTTCTATAAAAAAAGTCATTATGAGATCTTTCTCATGGTCTGAACTATGGCAGCGGACAAATAGCTCTATTAACCTCTTAGAAATTAGTCTCTTAAGAGACTTTACTTTTTTATAGAATAAGGGTGACAAACGAGCACACAGTCCACCTGATGGTACATCTATTCTCTATTACAAATCAAAATGCAGATGCGTTGTCACCCGTGAGGACTAAAATGGAATGCCTCATTTCCAGTAAGATGGGTCTCCGGGTTTCTACATTCACCATACGAAACACAGCAGTGTCAAGCTGCCATTTTACACTGGAATTCTGCGAGCCCCGACAGCGTGTGATTAACGTTAAGCAAAGAATTTTAGCGTTCATCGAATTTGGCAACTACATTCACGTTAATGCTAAATATTTAATTGATAGAATCAGGCGTTACTTTGCGGAAATCCATTATAATGGGGTTGTTATAAACTCATTTGCTTAATTCCGCGTAAAGAAAGAAAATGATGTGTCCTGCCCAGTTTTAAGGGGACCTCCCACCCTTCCTCAATCGCGAGCACTATACCCGTCGCCGTTAATACCAGCACTACCACTCCCAGCACTAGCACACTAGGCACGACACACCACTCTCGAAAATACGACACGTGTTTCGCCTCTACACGAGGCATCCTCAGGTGAAGTAGACTGCGGAGGCTGGCCGCTAAGTGAACGGCGAGCCGAAACTACTGCTATTTTATACTACTTGCTGACGCAACCGCGCTCCAATTACGTAACGAGCGATTACGTCATGCGATCAATCACCGCCTGACGTACGCCGATATTTGCTGTGAAATTAACAACAAACTATTGCGAAACGTCCGCCCACCCTACAACCACGCAACTAAACGCTGACCACCGTACCGTGAGGGTGACAAACGACCATTTTGTGAGGCTATATATCATCAAGGAGCAGGCTTAAACATTTTTAGAGGCGAGTTGGAAACATTTGTTTGTTCATTCAGCAGTGCAACATTACCGTTATTATTTTTTAATATCTCTAACTGTTCCAGCACACACTGTCGTAGCCCTTTATTACAAATATGTAAGACTTTAAAGGTGTGATCATTGGATAGGCTGTGTCCAGTGTCTAAGAGATGTTTAGCAAAATGTGATTTATCTGGGTTACAATTCCTGTACGCGGTATTATGGCGGACATTTTTATGGATAATTTTGAAAAACAACACATTTGCTGGACTGGCACAAAGAGGCAACTGGATGTTTTCCTTAATAAAATTATGCGGACGTTTCGCAATAGTTTGTTCTTAATTTCACAGCAAATATAGGCGTACGTCAGGCGGTGATTGATCTCATGACGTAATCGCTCGCTACGTAATTGGAGCGCGGTTGCGTCAGCAAGTAGTATAAATAGCAGTAGTTACGGCTCGCCGTTCACTTAGCGGCCAGCCTCCGCAGAGTCTACTTCACCTGAGGATGCCTCGTGTAGAGGCGAAACACGTGTCGTATTTTCGAGAATGGTGTGTCGTGCCTAGTGTGCTAGTGCTGGGATTAACGGCGATGGGTATAGTGCGCGCGATTGAGGAAGGGTGGGAGGTCCCCTTAAAACTGGGCAGGACACATCATTTTCTTTCTTTACGCGGAATTAAGCAAATGAGTTTATAAGAACCCCGCTAAATATTTACTCACTAGTCGAATGTTCTCTAATTAATTTCATAAATTATCTTACTTTTTACAAAAGCATTTGTTGTCTCGATTAGCGCTTTTAGAAGCCAGCGCCGATTCTGGTAACTCGTAATAATAGGCGGTCATGTTGAAAATGGACCGCTTCCCGACCAGGCTCACGAATAACGACCTGCAAAAGAATGATAAAACTTAATTTAAAAAATAAATAAAAACAAACGTGGTGAAAGTCACGCTGTATTATGGCTGCAGCAATAACTTAATACGACCTCTCAGAGAAAGGCCCTCTCATAGAACACCAGCGTAAAATAAAAAGCAGCATAATAATGTTTCTTACAATAAGTGATGAGAAACGGAGACCCTTTTTAGCAGATTTAAAAGAAAGATGCAGGTTTTCGATGCGACAGTATGTTCTTTTCTACCGACTTCAAAAAGGAGCCGCTACTCAATTCGACTGTATGTTTTTTTTATGTGTGTTACCTCATAATTTATTCTTACTGGGTGAACCGATTTCGATGATTCTTTTTTATTTGAAAGCTGGTGCTTCAATACAATACAATAACTTTATTTTAGGCATCAAGGACTTAAAAATTAAGAACATTGGCCCATAGCAATATATACCTTAACCTAAAAATATTTATAAAATATAGACATAACACTATTTAAGGAACTTTTTTCTTTGGCGCGTCCCTGTATCGGCGAAACACTACCCCAGAGGGCCAGAAATCGGGAGCGAGGAATGTCTCTTTATGTTTTGCAGGAACCTGGAGTACGTAGGATTTGAAGTTCACATGTGGTCCCATATAAATTTGATCAAGCTCTGACCAATTTCTTCTTAATAAGTTATATTGAAGTCGGTTGTATAAAATTTTTAATTTTAAATTATTTGTACGTTTGTTACGTGCTATCTTCGCCAATTGTGAACTTGTGATTTTTCTTTAATATAAAATGGTTTAATATAAAATAGTATAATTTAATATAAATTATACTTCAGGTGTGGTCCTATTGGAGAAATTCTACCTTTAAGGGTAGAAAACAGGGGATGAAATTTTTAATGTAACTTGTAAATTTTAATAGGACGTTCTCATCATCATGGAGTTTGTGCTGCGCCTGCGTGGAATACGTTCGTGTGTCTAGTTGCTACAAATTCTGTTATCAAAATTCGTTCTTAAAAAATTGTGATTGGTCAATTTATCAAATTTCAATTCCTTATTACTCTAGTGCAGTGTATATGGACTAACTCCGCCCAGTGGGAGGTCTTAGAGTGAAATAGTATATGTCTGCGCAGTTCCTAAGTTGAATAAGTGATAACTTGAGGGTACATACATTCGAGAATCTCGAACCCCGTTCGTTTTGATCGTGAATCACCGCTGTACTGAACGCGCTAAAGAGTTGCTTAAGCGCACTGCAAAATTACGCTCGACTTCGTGCTCACTACTGACGTCATCGACATTCATAACTTCATTTAATTTTAACTCCTTATAAAATATTAACGCTAGAATGTCGAAGTGCGCTGCTTGCGGGAAATTTGTAAGTCCGGCTGACATTATTAAATGTAGCAGTTGTGCTAATATTTATGACAGAATATGTTTAAAGTTATCCAAAAGCTATAAAGTATCTCCAAAATGGCTTTGTCCGGGCTGTACTTCTAAACAACCACGAAAAGATAATACGGAGACTCCGATTAAGGTGCAAACAGAAATAAGCCAGAGTAGTTCCTCGAACTCATCACCTTCTAGTTGCAGTGGCTGTGATGCTACAAATAAGATGATAGAGGAGTTACGTACGGAAATTGTCGCTATGCGCAATGAATTTGTAAACTTTGGAACAAAGTTCGACAGGCTTTACCTTGCCGTCAGCGACTTAAGTAAGCGAGTTGATGGAATAGAGAGTCGAGTGGCTAATCTCGAAAAAGACGAATGCATGGAAAAATATAAGGATGAGAACAAAAAGCTTAGCGACACATTGGAGCGTCTTAAGTTCGAGTTGAATGATCGTGATCAGGAACAGCTCCTTACTGATGTAGAAATAAGTTGTATACCTGAGCATAAGGGTGAGAACGTGACTCAACTTGTTATGCTTATTGGTGAAAAATTAAACGTGAAAATTGAAGAACAGGACATTGTAAGCATCCAGCGAATGGGTCCACTGCGAGGTTATATAGAAGGAGAAGGCGCTGTTCAGCCACGACCACTTGCTGTGCGCTTGGCGCGCCGAACGCTGCGCGACCGTCTGTTACAAAGCGCGCGTGTCCGTCGCAGTGCCGATACTACAGGTTTTGGCCTGCCGGGTTTGCCGAAAAAGTTCTATATAAATGAGCGTCTTACCCGTATAAATCGCCAGTTATTCTTCAAGGCCCGTCAAATGGGCTCTAAGAGCGGTTGGAAATATGTGTGGACACGAGACGGTCGCATTTACGCGCGACGAGATCAGAACACGGAGGCACGCAGAATAAGATGTGAAATCGATCTTGTCAAGTTTTTTGGCGAACCGGTGGTTGGCTAGACTTGGAGCTTTTGCTTTCCTGTTGTTTTTTTAACCGTTTGCTGAACCTATTTTTTAAACTGTTGGCGCTTGCATATTTAACAAATTTTTCGAAAATGATTTTTAGATTAATATGTCTATGCCCTACTCGTTTTGTCATGTATCCGCTTATGTCGCTTAATTATACTGTACTGCACTTTTTGATATTATTGAACAAATTATTTGTAAGTGCTGTGACGCTGATGATACACAATGCATATTACTTTGTATATACGTATATTATACATGTTATACGTTTCATATTTTCCGGTTTAAAATGCTCTCTTTATTTTTGCCCATATTTTATAATATCCTATAATATTATCATAATAATTTATCTCATAAACAACTATTTAATATATTATACAACACCGATATTTAATTACACTAACTATAATATAAATTATGATATTCAACTTTTCAGAAAAATATTAGATAACATGAAATTTGATTTGTTATACAGCTATAGCTATAGTAACGGTGCTGCTCTGTTTGTGTATATGTGTATATGTGAGTGTGTTTATATAAGTATGTATATGTATGTTTATATGCATATACTGAAGTTGCTCGTGTCCCTATGTTCATATATATATATATATATATATATATATATATATATATATATATATATTATGCTCTTTGTGCAAAATGGCGCCTAAAACTCAAAAGCTGAAGGTTGGTTTTTTAAATCCGGGTTCTTTGGGTACAAGGCATGAAGAATTCATTGTGGCAATGGTGCAGCATGATGTAGATATCATGGCTATAAACGAGACCTGGCTACGTGATGGAGAACAAGGTCGCGCGCCATCTATCCCCGGTTACCTCTTGCGCCATATTCCACGTTCAAGTACCACGCGCGCACGCGGTGGTGGGGTTGGATTCTATGTACGTCATGGTCTCGCCGTAAAAACGTGTGTATTTCCTGCCGCAATATCAGTTGAACAAATGTGGCTTAACTTAACTGTTAACGGCATAAATCTGATAATAGGTACTGCTTATCGACCACCATGGCTTGACGTAGACATATTTTTTGACGCACTTACTGATTCAGTATCATCTTTTGCCCATCGCGATAATATTGTGCTCTTGGGTGACTTTAACATAAATTTACTGGTAACTGACAACAATACTCATAAATTTGACAATTTTACAAAATGCCTAAATTTAATCCAATATGTAAATGAACCTACACACTTTACTCCTTACAGTGCTACATTAATTGATTTAATATGCGCCGACCTACCAATCTCTAACGTAACCGTCGATTACATACCAACTCTAAGTAATCATGCTTTCTTAACATGTAACTTTAAAATCAGTAAGCCAAAATGTCAACCAATTCAGTTTTTGTATCGCCCAGTGAAAGACATAAATCGTGATAGTTTTAATTTCGAAATGGAAAGGATCGACTGGGATTCTATGACTCAATTACCTCATGTAAATGATATGGTTTCTCAATTCAATTTAACAGTGTTAAGCCTGTTCGACCAATTCGCGCCACTAAAGCTTAAGCAAGTAAAGGAGCGTACATATCCATGGATTACCTTTACTATTCGCGAAATGATAAAATTGCGGAACGAAGCACATAATCGTTTTCGCTTAACTAGATTAGAAAAGCATAAAACTTATTACAAAGAACTTAAGCATGCTGTAAACTCAGCGTTATACCGCGAAAAACAGGCCTATTTTAATCAACATATAAACCGCAATATAACTAATTCTAAAGCTCTTTGGAACAATCTTAAACGGACAATAAACATATCAGAAAAATCTAGAGACTATGTAATTCCTGACCAACTCAACGACCCGGATTTGATTAATTCTCACTTTTGCACTATACCTGGAAATGATTCAGCACCCGATTCAGAACATGTTTTCTTTGGCTCCCATCGATTTTGCTCTTCAACATTTAAGTTAAATGTTACAGACGAAAACACAATAGCCAAAATAATTAATTCACTTAAGTCAAACGCTTTGGGCGCTGACGGCATATGCCTGGATATGGTTGTTCTAACACTTCCTTACACGCTAAAAGTAATCACCGCGATAGTTAACAGATCGATAACCACGTCTTATTTCCCTGACGTCTGGAAAACCGCTTTGGTTACACCAATTCCAAAAACCAATAGCATTATAAGTTTCAAAGACCTGCGCCCTATCAGCATCCTACCCTGCTTGTCGAAAATACTGGAAAGAGTAGTATGTATACAGCTTGAAGCATACTTGGAGAGTAATCACATACTACCGAAACTGCAGTCTGGTTTTAGAAAGCATCACAGCACGACCACAGCACTATTAGATGTAGTGGACAATATTTTAGCATCTCAAGATAAAGGTGAAGGTACAATCATGGCACTACTTGATTTCTCACGGGCCTTCGAGTCTCTTAACATCGAATTATTATTGTCCAAGCTTTCCTATTATGGATTTGATCCGACCGCAATCAAGTGGTTCTCCAGTGATCTAAATGATCGCATGCAGTTGGTTAAAATAATTAAAAAAGATGGTACACATTCTTTATCAAGTCCTTGTCCTGTAACGAGAGGAGTTCCCCAAGGATCCATACTAGGCCCTCTTTTATTCATACTATATATAGCAGATATTAGTACAGCCATTCAGAACTGTAAATATCATATGTATGCAGACGATTTGCAGGTATATCTTTCCTTTGTACCAAGTCAAACTAACTGGGCTGTTAATAACTTAAATAGAGATCTAACGAAAATCGCCCAGTGGTCAGAAGCCAACACTCTTGTACTTAATCCAGCCAAATCAAAATACATAGTATTGGGATCAATGCGACAGATAAATAGAATAGTTGCAAATAATCCTGATCTGTGTGTCCTCGGGGAGAAGATAAATCGTGTGACTGAAGCTAAGAATCTGGGGTTGCTGATGGATGACGCGCTTCGCTTTGAGAGACACGTGATCGAGATCACACGTAATTGCTTTTACAGACTAAAAGTATTATACCGAATACGTGACTTTTTGAGTGAAGATCTGCGCGTTAAGCTTTGCAACTCCCTTGTACTCTCCAGGCTAAACTATGCCGATACGGTATATGGACCAAGGCTACTTTCGAAAACTGATCGAATAATTCAGAGGATCCAAAATGCTTGTGCCAGGTATATACACCACATACCCCCACGAACTCACGTCAGTCCCTTTTTAAATAAATCGAAGTTATTAAGAATGTCCCAATTAAGAGCACTACATTTAGCAACACTAATGTTCGGTGTCTTTCAAAACAAAAAGCCCGAGTATCTATTAGAAAAACTAAAATGGCGCAAGGATGGTAATTTCAAGGACATTCGAACAAAATCAAATGTCCTTTCAGTACCAAAACACACAACGGCAGCATTCCGCGGTAGTTTCCGATATGCAGCTACTAAATGCTGGAACAACTTGCCCCCACCTATCCGCCAACTAAATACCATCAGCCTTTTCAAGGTAAAACTAAAAGAATATTTTTGTCACTTTAATATTTAGGGCGGATAAAATAGCTGCATTATATTTTCATAGTATTATATAAATATCTATATTGTTTTATTGTATATACTCATTATATTATTTATTATATACATTTATATATACCTACTGCATAAATAAAGTTCCCATCCTTTTTTGTTTCCGTTATTTTATTTTATTATTTTGATAACATCTTTCTCGAAAATAGAAATAAAGCGAACATACTATCCTCGCGGGCGAGTCCAACCTCAATGGGCATTGCTGAAAACCAACGCTACCGCAATCCTGCGATAGCATTACGTTGAGTCAGTGCCCTTTTCAGGATCACATCACTCATGCAATCGGATCATTTTATGACTGTTTTTTGTTATTTACTTTTATCTTTGATGTTTTTATGTTTTATTTTATTTTCTGTATCAAAACTGTATGAGTGTATGTTGCTGAATAAATGCATGTCTATGTCTATGTCTATGTCTATGTCTATCATCATCATCAGTACAGCCCTTCACAAGTCCACTGCTGCACTTAGGCCTCTCCCAAGGAATGCCACAAAGTACGGTCCTGAGCCACCTGCATCCTGCATGTCTTACCCGGTCGTCACTACATCTAGTGGGGCGTCACCCTACATTTCGCCTACCGGTACGATGCTGCCACTTGAGAACCTTTTTTCCCCATCGGTTATCGGTTCTTCGAGCTATATGGCTACTAAACTTATTTAAAATTATTTTCTACTTTTTGGTTTCTTTATCTAGAAAAGCGTGTTTTTTTATTTTTTTAACCTATTATTATTATTATATTATTTCTGTTGCCTTAAGCTTGTTATATTTTCTAGTGCACTGAAAAGGGTCAAAATTAAAGTTTTTATAAAATGTAAAAGTTGACGTTACGATAATACGACGGTATTGATATTTATGCTGCTGGTGTAATTTAGGTAATATGTGGGGGGAACACTCTTCGAAATTTTTATGCAATTATGTTTACCTAACAAAAATGGCCTATTGCGACGTGTTAAGTCTAGCTTAGTGAAGGGCTGTTATGATGAAGATGACGATGATGATGTTCACCCATGTGCAATTTATGTATGCAAAATACCTCTATTATACAAGAGAAATTTCTATTATGCGGTCAGGTTTTGTTTTAAATACCTGCAAATATCCGGTTCGAAGTTATACAGCCTTTCTGGTACATTGCTCTCGTCTATCGGCGGGAAGATTGAAGCGTCAGAGCCGTTTATCTGGCCGCAGTACGGGTCGCCCCATTCCTTCATCGTGCGCTTTCCCTTATATGAAACTATGTGACCAAGCTCATTAACATTCTCCGTACCTCGCACCATTTCGTATGGACCGATCGATGTATTCCACTACAAAAAATTGAATACTTTTTATCAACAGATGTTGGAAATTTACACAGTCAATGATTTCAAAAGGAAGGATACGCCCATCTAAACATTTTACTTATGGCTTCTTCATACAAGCAACATTAGCACCATCTGTCATAACACATACGAACTACGTGAGTGTAAGAAGCGACATAGGGAAATGAAACAAGAGATGGGCAGCATCATTAACTCATACCAATAAAAACCCACCTGCCAAGCGTGGCAATCGTGGCAAATAAAATCCCCGCTTTTAGACAATCTATCGGGAAGGCCAGTGTTCAGTTGGAGGCGAGAGGCGACAATGAAAAAAGCTAGGAAAATTGGGCATGGGCTTCTTCCGTTGTAGGGAGAATCTTGGCTGGTGGATTGATGGTCGTAGTACGCGACTACTTGCGACTATTTACACTTACGTGGTAGAGCCATGCTGCAGCTATATTATTTACGTATAGTTGCAGCACGAATGGGTCGGCTCGGCGGGACCACGCTCTCACAGAATACCAGCGTAAAATAGCAGCTTAACACTGCTGTGTTTCGTATGGTGAGTGTAGAGAACCGGGAACCCTTTTTACTGGAAAAGAGTCATTCAAACTAAGTCCTCACGGCTGACATCACATCTGCATTTTGATTTGCAAACGAGGATAGATATAGATATCTATGGGCCACAGAAACCACTTACCATCGGGTGGACTGTGTGCTCGCTTGTCACCCTTATCCTATATAAAAAAAATTGACACTGTAGTCCGCCGCCGGTTTGGAACGAAAATAAAAACAAGATGGGGATATATATATATATATAAATATATATATATATATATATATATATATATATATATATATATAACATATTATGTAGATGTATAGATACCGACATCCGCCATCCAGCGGAAGTCATGAAAATTTCTCGCATTTCCCGTGGTCGTTTCTTACGACCGATGAAATATGGTGATAGATTCTTTTATGCCGTCACCACCCTACGGTCGGCCACTTAGTGAAGTATATTTATTTTCTTACCTATAGTACTGTAGTATTCGAGAGCCGTGGTAATTCAGAGGCTAAGCACTCGCTGTAAATATAACAGTACGCGAGCAACCCGGGTTCGATCCCCGTCGGCAACAATGAAATTGTTAATAGCAATTTTAAGTACTGATTTACCATGTGCTCAGCTGGTGAAGGAATACATCGTGAGGAAACCTGCATGAGATATAAATAAAGATACATAGGAAAAAATATTTCGAAGACATGTCAAGTTCGCCAACACTCATTGGGGCAGCGCGGCGGACATTTCCTAGCCCTAAAACCCTCTCAGAAATGAGAGGTGCCTGCCCAGCAGTGGGACGTATATAGGCTGTAACTTTAACGTTAAACTTTAGTACTTTAGAATCAATTGCAGGATAATAAAGCTTTTTTAAATTGTGCTAAATGATATGCGTGACTCGAAAGTTTCCCCATACGTGGGCTGGCGGACTGAGAGCGCGGGTATACACAGATAGGTGACATGTGTTTTTTGGCTTGTTTATTGGCTTCAGTATTTCCAAACGAATATACACACTCTAAAAATAAATAATTTCGTGAAATAAGTTTTATTCAATTGATTAAAATTCATATAAATAGATACATAATTAAAATATAATATACTATTTAGGGTTGATTCTTCAATTATTACATAAGTTACAACTGGGTAAAACATAAGCAAGCATCTCCTTTTCGGACTAACTATGCTCTCTGTAGCTCAGGTGAAATCTTTTTTTTCTTTGAAAATCTTTGCTCCTAAACTAGAAATTTCTCCTGTATCGTTGAGGCAGTGTACAAATATAAATTGCACGAGGGCAAACATCCAGACCCGGAACAATTATTTGCAGGCCTTACAAATTATTGTTAAGTGCGGGATTCGAACCTGCACCCCCAGCGCAACAACTCATTGCTAAGCCACTGCGCCACGGAGCCATCAATACTATGTTTACATAACATAATATATTGACATGATTGCTACTTACATGGTCGAACATCGAGAAGTAATATCCTTTGCCGTCATCTGATGGTCGCATTGTAGTTGGTCTCTTTACTCGTAAAGTTCCGCAGACCAAACCTAAAAGTATAAAAAAAACGTTATAGATTTTTATAAATAATTTTAAACTTTCTTCACAGAAAGAGTTTCCTCTATATCATTTTTTGTATATTACACAATTTGTACATACAAACACTCAGACAAGGGACATATGTAGGTTAATTTACGCGTGGTAGAGCAACGTGCCGTTATATTGTGGTTGCAGTACGAATAGGTCAGCGCAACCGGGGAGAGACTAAGATCTCATAAATACCAGCGTAAAATAACAGCTTAATGATGCAGTGTTTCATATAGTGTAGAAAACCGGAGACCCTCTTTACTAGAAACGAGGCATTTTAGCAGCCTTCCGCCTGGCAACGCACCTACGAGTATATTTTTAATCGAGGATGAATGAAGGTGTCTATGCGCCACAGTATCCACTTACCATCAGGTAGAATGTTTGTCACTTTTATTCTATAAAATGAAAAAATACACTTGTTTCATGCAGGAGTAAAACGCGCAATCCGAAGCACTGCAGCCAAATTCTTCTCGGTAGCGCTGTGATTATGGAAAAAGTAAGTCACAAGAATATGAAAATGCTGTTTTCAGCTGTAGGCAAAATATTTTGCATTGCCTCAATAATATGTTAGGTCGGCGACAAATTAATTGCCTCTTCTTTTGTAGAGAAAATGTCTGAAAAGTCTTAAGTCTTACACTTTGCAGATAGATTGACGATCGTAATACTAGACCTCTGGCACCTTTGATGTTGGTTCCTGTTGACAGTTTATTTACTTTAAAAAACGAAATAGATACGCTATAAAATGTCTTATTAGAAAAGCCTGCAACGGTTTTAAACGTCTAATGAGCAATATATCTAATAACCGAAACAGTCTTGAGCAATATGTCTAATAAATAAAACGTATAATGAGCAAATCGTCAGATTCTTGGAACGCCTGGACTTTAATATTAGTACATATACACACGACTGTATATATACGAATTCCTTAGTCTATCTACTGGTAGCACGTATCATAACTTTACACAGGGATATTTTGCAACATAGGTTCAGAATAAGTAATATAGGCGAATGGTGAAGAAATATTAATTAAAATATTCTTAAAAATTCTGTCCTTTTTATCATGCAGAATTCACGGTAATGCGTTATTTTAACTGATTGTCGTTCATAAATATTAACGCCTACTATTTTATTACACACGCACATATTCGTAAAGGTCGTTAGGTTGGCAAAAACGAAATGAATCGCATACAGCAGAGCGCGCGTACGCCTAGTTTTTGCCCATAAATCACATTCAATTTGGGATAATTTCAATTAAAAGTAGAAGCCTTATTTATTCGTATTTTCAAAAATTGAAATAAAGGTATATCATTATTTATATATTTGAAGTTAAATATAAAATTTGGATACTCTTTGAAAAATAACCCTGTATAGTGACACGGTTAACTTCGTGAATGCTGAAATTTACCTGTATTCAAAAATAGTAATTTCTTAATTACAGAAGCAACCCTATGATAGTAAGATGTTCCTCAGTGCGTTCGATATGGCAAGCTTCTAATTTCATTAGCCATACTCAAAGGCTGGTATACGTTTTGGTGCGACTTTATTCGAGGCATAAAATACTCACTCAAAGCAGAACTCTCGCTGTCGCAGTTCAGATAGGTTCCGTCGAACAGCAAGTCCTTCACCTTTATCTGCATGAATGGGTATGTTAAGTTACCGAAGAAGCTTCCCAGAGCCTCGTTAACCGCGCCAACTATGGCTGGCATCATAGTATTCACCGTCAGTAGCACTCCCTGAAAGATTTAAGACATTTATTTTGGTTTAGTTTACTGTTAATTTTTAATTAAAGAGGTGAATACTTAGCGCTGAGTACACCTGAGTTGTCGTTATCGGAAATGTTCGTGCTGTTAGTCGAGAAAATTGTAGAGATTGTTCGGAATCAGGGTTACATTAAAGAATGTTCGATGATAACGGCGATGCAAATTATGACGATGTATCACCGGGGCTTCGGTATGGATTTTGGTTCACTCAGTGTACGAATGAGGTATCATATCAGTCCGATTGGAGTATGCGGATTCCTGCTTTTCCGGCTTAATTCGTGTCTCTCAGTCGGGGCGGTAAGAACATTTTTTTTATAGTATAGGGTTGTCACCCTATCAGCACACAGTCCACCCGATGATAAGTGGACACTGTGGCCCATAGATATATACATTTATCCTCAATTAAGAATCAAAACGGCCCCCAGTCCCCGGCGGCCCCGCTATTCCTGGCTACGGTGACGACCATGGTAACGGCGGGGCAGGGGGTGCTAAGAATTTCCGGTGGAGGTTCGGTTGCCACCTTAGACGACTCGACCTGGCAACGTACAACGCACGCACCCTGAGGACTGACGAGAAGATCGTGGAGCTGGAAGAAGAGATAGACAAGTTGCGCTGGCATATTATAGGATTATCCGAAGTCCGAAGAGAGGGGGAGGACACGGTAATCCTCGAATCCGGCAACTTGCTCTATCACCGGGAGGGCGACCATCTGTCCCAAGGAGGTGTCGGATTTATCGTCCACAAGTCTCTAGTTAACAACGTTGTAAAGATCGGGAGTGTGTCGACGAGGGTTGCGTACCTTATACTCAGAATCACCAAACGGTATTCGCTGAAGGTCATACAGGTTTACGCACCAACCTCGGCACACCCCGATGGGGAGGTGGAGGAAATGTATGAGGATATCTCTAGAGCCATGCATTCCTCCAAAACCCAATATACGGTGTTAATGGGAGACTTCAATGCAAAACTAGGCACAAGAGAGAACGGTGAGCTGAAAGTAGGGAAATTTGGAATAGGGCAACGGAACCCAAGGGGCCAGCAGCTGGCCGACTTCATGGAGAAAGAGGGACTCTTTATGATGCACTCTTTCTTCCAGAAGCGGTCCCACAGGAAGTGGACCTGGTCGAGCCCCGACGGTTCGACAAAAAATGAGATTGACTTCATTATGACGACCAGACGACAACTGTTCAGTGATGTCTCCGTGATCGCGAGGGTGAAAACTGGTAGCGATCACCGAATGGTTAGAGGCACACTGAACCTAAACGTTAAGTTGGAGAGGTCTCGTCTAATGAAGTCAACGCTCCGTCCCCCTCGTGCTCTGTTCCAAAGTTCCGAAACCTTTCAGCTCGAGTTACAAAACCGTTTTCAGTGCCTAGAAGACTGCAATGAAGTGGACGATATGAATGACAAGCTCGTGGAAACTGTCCATGCGGTCGGAGCTAAGTTCTGCAAGACCCGCCGCAGAAGAACACAAAAACTCTCCGATCACACTCTTAATCTCATGGCTGTTAGACGGGAGATGAAGCTATATTCTTCAACAGACTTGACAGCATACAGGCATCTGAACAGACAGATCTCCAAATGCATGCGGCGGGACTTACGCAACTTCAATACAGCTCGTATTGAAGAAGCGATCGAGCGGAACCAAGGCTCCAAAGTCTTTGCCAGAGATCTGTCTGCCAGAAAGAGCCACCTGTCAAAGCTGAAGACAGAATGTGGCAGCATCGTTTCCGGGACACCTGAAATTTTGAGTGAGATTGAGAGGTTCTATGGGCAGCTGTACACGTCATCGTTGGAGCCACACGCAAGTGTGAGTAACGATCCAAGAGCGAGTCTCATCCGACACTATTCCGAAGATATCCCGGACGTCAGTCTGAGCGAGATTAGAATGGCTCTCCAGCACCTTAAAAACGGTAAGGCCCCAGGCGAGGATGGAATTACAGCGGAGCTTCTGAAAGCGGGTGGAAGACCGGTACTTGAAGTCCTTCAGAAGCTCTTTAATTCCGTCCTCCATGGTGGCATTACACCGGAGGCGTGGAGCAGAAGTGCGGTGGTCTTGTTCTTTAAGAAAGGTGACAATGCTCTCTTGAAGAACTACAGACCGATTTCCCTTCTGAGCCGCGTCTACGTGCTGTTTTCGAGAGTCATTACGAATCGTCTCGCGCGCAGACTTGACGACTTCCAGCCTCCCGAACAAGCCGGTTTCCGAAAGGGCTTTAGCACCATAGACCACATACATACCCTTCGGCAAATTGTACAGAAGTCCGAAGAGTACAATTTGCCACTATGTCTGGCGTATGTGGACTATGAGAAAGCCTTTGATTCCGTCGAAATTTGGGCGGTGCTGCAGTCCCTTCAGCGGTGCCAAGTTGACTGTCGGTATATCGAAGTGTTGAAGTGCTTGTACAGTAGGGCTACGATGGCTATCCGAGTACAGAACCAGAGTACGAAACCTATCCAATTGCAGAGAGGTGTAAGACAGGGTGACGTCATATCCCCGAAACTCTTCACCGCTGCATTGGAAGACGTTTTCAAGCTTCTGGACTGGAAAGGATACGGTATCAACATCAATGGCGAGTACATCACTCACCTTCGATTTGCCGACGATATAGTCCTTATGGCAGAATCGCTGGAGGACCTAAGCACTATGCTCAATGACCTCGATAGTGTTTCCCAACGGATAGGTCTTAAGATGAACATGGATAAAACAAAGATCATGTTCAATGTCCATGTCACACCTATGCCGGTAGTTGTTGGAAGCACTAAGCTCGAAGTTGTTGACGAGTATGTTTACCTGGGACAAATAGTCCGACTAGGTAAGTCCAACTTCGACCGAGAGGTCAATCGACGGATTCAACTCGGCTGGGCAGCGTTCGGGAAGCTACGACACATCTTCTCGTCAGACATACCTCAAAACCTGAAAACGAAATTGTACAACCAGTGCGTGTTGCCAGTGATGACTTATGGAACTGAGACGTGGTCCTTCACTGCTGGCCGTATGAGGAAGCTCAAGGTCGCTCAGCGAGCTATGGAGAGGGCTATGCTCGGAGTTTCTCTGCGTGATAAACTTAGGAATGAGGATATCCGCAGTAGAACCAGAGTAACCGACATAGCCCAACGGATTAGTAAGCTGAAGTGGCAGTGGGCCGGCCATATAGCTCGAAGAACCGACAACCGATGGGGAAGAAAGGTTCTCGAGTGGCAGCCTCGTACCGGTAGGCGAAGTGTAGGGCGTCCCCCCACGAGATGGAGTGACGACCTGGTAAGACATGCAGGAAGTCGATGGATGCAGGTGGCTCAGGACCGTGCTTTGTGGCATTCTTTGGGGGAGGCCTATGTTCAGCAGTGGACTTGTGAAGGACTGTAATGATGATGAAGAATCAAAATGCAGAGGCGTTGTCACCCCTGAAGACTAAGATGGCCTCGTTTTCAGTAAAAAGAGTTTCCGGTTTTCTGTGAGAGCGTGGTTCTACCCCGGTCGAGCCGACCCATTCGTCCTACAGCCATAACAGCTGCAGCGTGGCTCTACCACGTATAAAAATATGTCACGCACGTACAATGAATGTAACTAATTTTGCACAAAGAAACCTGCAGGGAACTCTTAAATTAAGAACCCTATGAATGCATTCTTCGTCTTCATCTTCAACCCTAAAAGTCTATTAGTAGACATGACAAGACCTCTAACGTTTCAAGGAGGATTTATCTTTATCGTCACGCTTGGCGCTGATGCTCGTCGCCGGTCTGGGTATTTCACGCCTGGCGTAAACGAGATGGTTACACCGTCATCTAACGGAAGTAATAAGATCTCCAGCATTTCCAAAGTAGTCTCAGGGGTAACAACGGATCTGTATTTTGGTTCATAGTCATCTTTTAACAGTGGTAGAGCCACGCGGCAGCTTATGCTGTCGCACGGATGGGCCGGCTCGAACCGGGGTGGTACCACGACCTCACAAAAGAATAACCAGTCAAAGTCAAACCAGTCTTCAAAGAGTAACCAGTGACTCATCGCGCGGATTTTCTAAAGATTAATGTCGTTTTCACCAGACTTCAAAAAAATAATAAAATGATTATCAATTTTTTTAAGGGTGGTAAACGAACACTATCCAACTCATGGTAAGTAGATTTTTTTTATATGATAAGGGTGACAAACGAGTACACAGTCATCTGATGGTTATTATATGCTGTGGACCATATACATTTGTTATTAGGCCTATTTGTTATAAGAGCGTTATCCCTCTATTACTAGTACTAGTATTCTTTCAACTGTATGTATATCATATTTTATAAATATAGTTTGAAATAGGTATTTTGAACCCTTGTGTAATAATTTGAAACTACGCCGTAGATTGACGTTTTAAATATCTAGGTATCATAAAATGCAAAAAGTAATATATTTTGTCTTCAGTTACTAATAAATTAAATAATAGAAACTACTAATATTGTATGTTTAAATAATTATCTTTGTAAAATGTTTAAAAAATTCTCACTTTATTATTTTCATTACTTTTTTTTTTATAGAATAGGGGGCAAACGAGCATGCGGCTCACCTGATGGTAAGTGACTACCGCCGCCCATGAACAACCGCAACACCAGGGGAATCGCAGATGCGTTGCCGGCCTTTTAGAAAGGTGTAAGCTCTTTTCTTGAAGGTTTCCTAAGTCGTATCGGTTCGAAAAATTCGCTGGTGGTAATTGATTCCACAAAGAAGTTGTGCGAAGGAGAAAACTTCTTCTAAATCGCACAGTGGTGGACCGCCAATCATCCAGATGGTATGGATGGTAACGCGAGTTTTGTCGCGACGTGCGATGGTGAAATTGAGCGGCTGGAATTAGTCCGAACAATTCCTCAGAGCACTCCCCGTGATAGATGCGATAAAATACGCAAAGAGATGCAACATCTCTACGCAGTGCCAGTGTATCGAGCCGATCGGAAAGAACTCGGTCGTCGACGATTCGAATCGCTCTGCGCTGGAT